AAAGCTACTGGCAACTGCAAGGGGGCACCGCGGCCGCAGCAAGCCTCACAGACTGCCACTGCTCTCTCTCTGCAATGAGAGCGGGATGATGGCATAATTGTACGGGATTTAAACCTGGCCAGCGCCGCCCTGCACCTTCAAAACGGCACAGGAGGCCGGCGCAAGCCAAAGGGAAAACTGTCACTGCAGCGGCCTTCGCCGCTGCTTCTTCCCACAGCTCTGCAGCTCCGCTTTCTCAGGCAGCCTTCCCAGCCTTCACGACGGGGACGAGGCCACCGGCCACCGCCGCCATGATGGCCGCGGGGATCAGAGCCGCCTGTGCGCCCCACGCAGGGTGAGTCTCCATGGCCGCCACACCACCAAGGCCGAAGAAGAAGATGCCGGACCCGAAGAGGAAGACCTTCAGCAGGGTGGGCGGCTCGGCACCGTCCGCCTGCGCCCGGGCCCACAAGCCCAGGCCGACGCCGAAGTCGGTCAGATAGCCAGTGAAGTGCGTCGTGCAAACTGGGAGGGAGCTGCATCGACGAGTGATGCCATTCTGGATGCCCTGCGAGAAGGCCCACAAGAACAGGCACTCGGAGGCATCATCATTGGCAATGCCGGCTTGGGCCTTGCAGTAGTGCACCAGGCAACCGAACATCACGGCGAAGGCTGCTGCCAACAGGTTGGGCGAGTAGCGCCCCTGGTAGATGGCCTCCTGGTCACACTTGCTGAAGCCGGCCACAAAGGATCCGGTTGCAAAGGACAGCATCAAGTGGAAGAACTTGATGCCACCGTTCATGATGAGACGTCCGGTGTGGCTGGTGTTGCCCGTCTGGTGGGACACGGTCATGCCCATGTCGATGATGGCCAGGGCGTTCACGAAGCCAGACGTGAAGCAAAGAATGTTGGAGATCATCACGAAGCTGCTGTAGTCGGGGCGCTTCTCCGCTGGACCCGCTGCTGCCGGCTGTGCTTGTTCAGTGTACGCAAAGGCACCGCACGCAATCATCAATGCCAAGGAAACGAACAGGGCGTGGTCGGCGATGGTCTTGGCCATGCCAGATGACTCCTGCACGACTGGCTCGCTGAAGGCATGGCTCTGGAAGCTCCACAGCGCACAAACGCCAAGTGCCAGGAGCGCGGCGCCGCGCACGCGGCTGCTCCTGGCACGGGTGCTCAACATGGCCGGCATGATGGCTGCTCGACGCCGTCTGCGGGCTGCAAGGGAGCAACTGCGAGCAAAATGCTGCGGAGATCAGCACGGAGGTAATCCGAACAGCCATCTCGACTCGAATCGAGGTGTTGCAAGAGTCACAGGAGAATAGTGATGAACCAGTGCGCACATTTTATGGTCGGGCTGCCTTCGAAGTGCAACTCGGAAACCGAACACGTGGCGCATACCACGCGAGGCTGCAACAGGGGGAGAGTGGGGTGATGGAGCACATGACCGCGAGGGATATCGGGTAACTTGGGACTGACACAAGTCTTGGAAGGCCTGCAAGACACCGATGGCTTCCAAAAAGTTTTGGGAAACCGTCGATGCCGAATTCTTGTCGCTTGGACGAAGACATTCGGCTCAGCCGTCATACTCGCCTTCCTCTTCGTCGAACTCTCCCTCCTCTTCGGCGGTTGCATCCTGGTACTGCTGGTACTCAGAAACCAAGTCATTCATGTTGGACTCAGCCTCTGTGAACTCCATCTCGTCCATGCCTGGGGCTACATACGG